TAGCTACAATCTATTATTTTTATAAATTTTAATTATACTGTATATACAGTATAATAGAAATTCTTAAATCTTAATGCAATTACTTGAGTCAAAGGAAAAATAACTTCAATTACATGTACACAGTATATAAAATAAAATGAAACTAAAAAAATTAAAAAAATTAAAAAAAATTAAATTAATTAGAAATAGTTATAGAAAAGATTCATGAAAAACTTTAAATTGATATCGAATTTGTCAAGCAAAAATATCATGGAAGTAAATCTTCGAATAAAATGCATCTACACTGTTTAAAATTAATCAAGATTAAAGAAAGCGATTATACGAGCATTGAGTAAACTTTCGTCTCTACTGTCAATAGTTATGAACTTGTAATCCAACTAAATACAGTAAATCGAAATATCTTGGTTTCCGACTTTTATTCTTTCTGTAAATCCTTTTTCCACCAGGACATTGGATCTTAATTATTGCTACTGACGTACAACTACTAATCGTACTTAATTTATCAACTGCCTTCTTCCTCATGAAGATCTTCAGTAAAGTTTCATTGGCAGCATTCTGCAAACTTTTTACTAATATCTTTGTATCGAATCTAAAATAAGGTTTTTATTTCTCAAAAGCTCCTTTTAAAACTTTCTTGATATTTTTAATTTCACTTCGACAGACTCTTTCAAGATGTTTGTTCCGATAAGAGCTTTGTCAGCATTAGAATTAGTTCTTTGCGACCATCGGTGCAGCACTTGCCCCTATATCGAGGACTACATTCCAGAAAGAATTGTCCGATTTCCTATTTTCCTTCATTGAACGAAATTGACTCGATAAATTTTTCGATTCTTTCGAATCTTTCTTTGTCAAGAGATTCCGAGTTGACGTCTGTGAAAAATCTTACTAAAAAAGGAGGTTGCTAATTTTGCTTTCTTCACCGTCGAGCATAAGTTGTACTTTGAAGACGAGAAGCTTCGGAAATCAACATGTCTATTCTATCCAGTCCTCGTTTTCTGTTGACGTCTGATTATGACCACTTTCGCAGACTGATAGATAAGAAATTTTAGAATCAAGACTGATTTCAATTGGTAAAATAAATTTATCAAAGTCTTATATACTTTTGTAGTAAGACGAAAGTCCCAAGGATCGTATTCTTTTAAGAACTCGGTTGTTTGTTTGGAGTCTTGTTTGACTGGCGCCACCCTAATAATTTTGCTAGAAATAGCTTCTCTGACCCAGAATTGAAGTTTTCTATAAATTTTGTTTGTGAAAATATCTGGATTTTCACTTATAAATTCGAAAGCTTTCGGAAATCGGTTAAGAAAGAATACTCGGCTTCGGGATAATATAATAAGACACAGTATGCTGCGGAATTAGATCACTTTTATTTTAAATTGAGCAGAGGGAAATTCCTTTTCAAGTTTACTATAGCGGAAACGACTCTTTATGGGTAGTAATTTGCGTGCATTTTTGCCGATCATTAAATCAAAATCTAACTCATACATAAAGAAATATTTCACATGATCTTTGGGAAGGTCTAAAAATTCTTTATTCTCCCATTCGTCATTTTCCAAAAAAAAAAAAACCTGGTCAATCTGAGAATTCGGCTCTACCAGGTCTATCTTTGGATAAACTGAATCACCAGAAAAAATTATTAATTTATTTATGAGTAGGAAAAATTAATATATCCCGTTTTTTCGTTTATTTAAAAATCATCAAAAATAATTTTTATTTAAATTATATCAATAATAAAATTTTTATTAAATTCGAATAAACTTTATCATTATACTTATTATTTTTTTTTTAAACAAAATGGTTTTATTTTTTATTAAAATTTTAATTTGTATAATAATTATTTTAATATATAACTTATTATTATTAACAAATTTTAAATTTTACAAAAAAAATTATTATTTATTTGTTTTAAATTAAATATAATATAATATAATATATTGTTAAGTATTTAAAATAAATTTATTTATATAATTACATGCTTTTAATTATTAATCAACAATTTAGATTCTTGGTAAAGCAAATTTTTATACAATTAACATTATTAATTAAATTTTACTTTCAGTAATTTTTTTATACTTTCTATTGATTTGATATACTGTATAATCATAAATTATACAAAAGCTATTTTTTGATTTGTAATTATCAAATATACAGTATATATAGTATAATATAAAAAAATATTAATTTCAAAAAAATTTTTTTTTCTTTTTGGATTTTTTATATATATGGATTTTAATTAATTTATATTTTTTTAAACAAGAATATATATATTTAAATATAGTAATTACTAAATAGTTAAGAAATTTTGTAAATGTTAATTTATTTATTATTTGTATATTGTAATATATAAAAATTATATTTAATTTAACATTACAATACAAATTATTTTTATTGATCTTATATTAGATAAAATGCAGTAATATAAATGACATTAATAATGTATTGTATTAAATATACAACACAGATAAATAAAAAATTTTGTTGTTTAAACTATTTGATATTAAAAATTTAATATTTAAAAAAAATTATAAATAAAGATTTTTGTATTTATGTAAATAATAAGGTTGAGATGTTGTCGTAAACACACAAGCTATAAATTTTTCCAACCATTTTTTTTCATTAAATTTGCAATAAATAATAAAAAAAAAATATTATCCAATAATTTGATACTTATTATCGTGGTTAATTTTTTTTTTTAAAAAAAAATTAAATGTCTCTTAAAAATATTTCTTACATCGGTTTTACTTAGTAATTGATAAATGACATATACGGTAAAGATACAATATATGCGATATGTTGAGGTTTTTATGATATTTATAATAGTGTAAAAATATCAGGCCAGTGTAAAGATCATTAAAAAATATTATTCATCCACGCTTTGAAATTGACTGATTATGACTAAACAATTCGGATTTCACGTCATTATACAGTTATAACTTTTTATAGCTGAACGTTATTTCTTTTAATTATTCAATCTGCATTCAATAACCGGTTACACCAATGGAATTTGCAGTTGTCACGTGCGGGAAAATGGAATAGATTTACAAATTTGGTGTCGCATCGCATACTTGTTGAACAATAATAAAATTAAAGTATTGCATAGTCCGGTGATTTTGGAAGTTTGGAATACTGCATTTCACGAGTTTAATATATATCAAAGTTTCGATTACGCAGAAACGTGCTCGACTGAGACGCTATTTGTTTTTATTACTTGCTTTTCTAACCACCTCATTATTTGTATATCAATAATGCGTTGTTATTCTTGATAACTAACTGCCTTGTTTCTTTTGTATTCAGTTTAAAAATAAAAATCTGGGTCCGGCAGTCGGAATATGCCGTCGGAAGTTTCAGGTGCCCGAGAAAATGGTTGCTTAGTCGGCGTGGATTCTTTTTTTAATGTGTGTAACTGGTTCTTGCGCCCACATCACGTAACTGCTGTCAGTGTCATAAAGTATGACTGATCGCCTTTGCCGGATATAAGCAATACGTGACGAATAAGGTAAGACGTCTTTTTTATGAGTTTTTTGTGTTTCAGTTTGACCGACAGACCATAGTACTAAGAAATGGAGATTTGGAATGGTAAAGAGGAGAGTGTCAAGAGATGAAGGGGTTACAAATAAGGCAATCGTTGCATGCTTCTTTGGTCGATCACGTTTGTGGCCTGAGACGTGACGACATAATCGTCACGGTTGCTTATTCTATGGAGGGTCTTGGGTGCGCCACCGTCACCTTAAATCGTATGACGATAAAAAAAATTTTTTTTTTTTTTTTCACTTAATATAAATTCATTTACCAATACACACAATCGTTATTTTAATTTCTACAATGTGAAACTCTTTCTCCACCTTCGAATTTATCACCTGTCCACAAAACAAGAAAAAAAAGATAACGACAATTATGTGATTTCCTGGCTCAGACGTATACAATTTATTTATAATACATGATTGTGTGTGTGTACAATCAAACACTTGTTTCCTCGATGTATAAAAATAAATCATTCAAAAAAAAAAAAAAGGTGATTGATTAAGACAAAAAAAAAAGAACCCTATTATATTAAACTATTTATTTGGTCCACTATAATATGTAGTAACACACTTAAACTAATACTAATTATACTGCACCTATTTATTATATAAACACACTTTTCTTTTGTGCGACACCGATGCCAAAATCATTTGCTTGTAGTTCAACCTCCCTTTTTTATGCAAAAAATTTACTCGTCGTCATCAAACAAATTTCTGTTTAAAATCCCCCTCCGCATTTTTTAGTTTCCTCCTGCCCTTTTTCTTCTTTTTTCCATAACCACACTTTTTACCACAAAACTTTTGTCCGTGTAGCATCATTCGACTGACAACGTCGGATCAAAAAAAGTTAAAACTCAAAGATAATAAACATTTTTTTTATTACAAAGAATTCTTTTAAATTATCAAACTTTCACGCTGGAGAGAATAAAAGCACTCGTTCTCCTCAGTTCACCTCACCTTAACAGAAAAACTTTTTATAACCACCTATTATCGAGTAACACCAACAGGTTTAGTTTGCAAGAGAACAATATTGAACACTAACCGCTCCTGGATATCCTTCCTAAAACTGAAGTTATCTTCCATCACACCACAGCACTAAGGATTTCCCAAACCTTTCACCCGTACTGTACGTTCCTCTATAAATAATACTATATTTTGTCTTGTTTTTTTTTCCTCTCCACCGCTCGCATTCAGAAGAAAAAAAAAAAAACAAGCCAAAATTATTATTGACGCTAGTCTTTTCTTGTGTCTCTCCACTTTCCACTTACTATTTCCTTTATAATACCATGTTCCGTCGTTTTTCATCACCATTTTACCTTCCAGTTCATCTTGCTTTTATATAATATTAAACAAACATAAAAATACTAGCATCGTCACAATACTTTTTTTGCATTGGTTACCATTTTTTTTTTAAAAAAAAAGACATTTTTACACTTCATTATATAAAATAATATCTATTCGAAAAAAAAAAAAAGGACAATGAATAACAACCTTATATCGTCAGTATCATCAAAACCCACTCTCTCTGCTCCAGTGGTACAGAGCAGGCTCGAACACCACCATTCACAACAACAACAACAACAACAACTTCTTTCAAAGCCACAGAAACCGGAAGTAAGGCAGCAACAGCATCAAAGGTCGAAGTCTTTAAAAGGCAAACGTACTCCTGCCTACAATCGACCGAAGGAGAGTTTATCATCTGAAGTCCCTACCCCGTCTCGTTCCAAGAATACTCCAAGCCATAATCACGTTGATCACTTTGATTCGTCGGCAACTGATAGCAATTCGGTTGATCCTTCTGGTGTAATTAGTAATGAGTCTCATCTGTCGGGTTTTGCTTTCGATAACAAAAAATCGGTCTCACGAAAGTCCAGCGAAAGGCGACCTAGAAGACATCAATACAGTGATTCGGTCGAAGAAATCAGGAATGTTCCTACCGTTTCAATCTTGAAGAGACCTCAATCAGCTACGGATTTTGTAAAGACCTCAAATGGCACTTCCTTGAACACCACCAATACCAAAACCTTACTTGATGTCACCCGTGAGGAACTTGAATTCTCCCATCCACTTCCCTCCGCCAATGTTGATGATCATTCGAAAGAACGTCGACGTTCAGATGCCGCTTCTTCCAAGGTTAAGCGTGTTCAACGACGCAAGGAGATCAAGTCGGTTGCCGAAGCTTTGCAAGTTGTCGAATCTGAAACCATTCCAAGTTTCAGCCCTCCTAAAGCAAATCGCTATCTCCATAACCAGCCAGATTTCCACGAGGAATCTGATGTAAATAGTGTTTTAAATCCTAGTCTAGAATCACTTTCTAATTCTCCAATCACCGAATCTGACCGCTTTTTGGTGCATCCGCAAGCCAACAACGCCTTTGTTTTTCCTCCTCTGAACTATTCTAACGCGATCATTGCCCTTGAAGAAGAGATGAGTAATAAGCATGATGATAACCTTGATTTATCCAACGTAAAGAGGTATCCATCTATTCACTTTTATCGACTGACATTTTTCGCATTTGACATCAATTGACCTTCTTTATATTTTTCTTTTATCAGTTCATTCGAGAGACCTTTAGCTAAGGGTTACAAACGACGCTCTGATATCTACCCGCCAGTCAATGCCCCAGTCGTTCCGGAAAATTTGAATCGCCGTGCCTCCAGTGCGTCCGTAGAACTGCAAAGCCACGTGGCTCCCTTTGCAGATCAGGATTCCATGAATGAGCATCAGTCGTCCGAACATTTGTTGTCCACCACTCCATCTCGTAGATTATCTAATTCTCCCAATAGACATATGTCAGCCAAACTCTATGCTGGCCCGACATTTCATAATTCCCCTGCCCCTGGCGATTTGCCCTTGCCCTCCTTCCTCGGCAAAACTTCAAGCAAGGAGTCCAGTCCAGCCATGTCAAATGCTTCTTTGAGTGCCGTTACACCATCGAGAACCTCCTCTCCATCTTTGTCCTCCGGTAATTCTTCTGATGACGACATGTTTGTTATGGATGAGTTCGAATCCAATCCTCGGGAATCCATTGTCCTAAGAAAACAGAGATCTCGTGAACTTCTTCGCATGTTGTCCTCAAATTCTGGTAAACAGAATACTGCCGCGGCCTACATGGTCCCTGAACGTATGGCGACCTCCCACAATCCCACTCAAGTCTATCCTGCCATGTCGTTAACTGAAATTTCGGAAAGCTTGAGAAACTTGTTGAAGATTCAAGGGCAATAAAAAAAAAAAAAAAAGTAAGGCAGAGGGGTTGATCTTATCGCATAGAATTTGTCTAGAGAGAGCGAGCGAACGAAAATTTTCCGTGTCCCTAGTAGTTCTTCCATTTGGCGTTACGAGAGTATTACGACAGCGATTAGTAATAATATTGAATTTTTTCTAGACGTATGAAACCTTCTGATCATATTTTTTTTTTTTTTTTTCATTTTTGCATTTTCTCTTTTTTCTGCACTGTACATTTTTTGAAGCAAATTTCTTTGTTATAATATTTCATTTTTTTTTTCTTTTTCTTTTTTAACTACGACCCTAATGACGACCCACCATATAGTCTTCTCCCCTTTCCCTATTTTGCATAGACATATTTCTGATCTTTTCCTAATGTTGTATAGATCTTTTCCTTTTTTATTGAACGCATTGGTGAAAAATTCTCGACACAATTATCTGCATCCCTACTTGTAAAAATCAAAAAAGTGCCATTTGATCATCATCACCACCACCACCACCATCATCGTCATCATTATTATAAACCAACACTTTAATGGACACTTATTTCATCCTGGTGATGAAGATACTTGCGTTGGATTTAATCGACAATAGACATTTTTACCATCTCTACCTCTTATTTCGGTTTATATAAATTGGAAAAGATTCTATTTGTAAATATGTTCTGCGGCATTACTTATTATTGAATATTTAATCTCCTTTTTCCCTTTTTCTTTTTTTTCTTCTTTTTAGATTTTATTCATTCTCTTCGTTTGTACATTTTGTATGAATTCCCTTTTTTCATTGTTCATTTTTTCCCCTTTTTTAAAAGTATGTAGCAGGTTTCTAATTCTTTTATTTGTTTTGAATTAGAAACACTTGTTATATTATTTTTTTCTTTGACTAGTATTATTAGACTGGGGACTAATTTTTTTATGGTGGGTTCTTAAACCTTATCTAAAAGTAATCTTTCTTTTAAACCCTTTTTCTTTAAAACAAAAGGAGAGGATCGATGGATGCTCTTGTAGATTCCATCAACTTTCGATATTTTGGGGTGTAGTGTTTACCATGGTACATTTCTTTACGTTTGTTAGACGAAGCGTCGCAAACGTGTTTCCTTTACAAATGTGAACAGTCATTCAGTTGAAGTTTCTTTCTGTAGAAGATTAACATTCTTTTCGTTCATCATTGTTCGCGCACAAATTTTCCCCACTCCCCGCGTGTGCGTTTGCATTCACTTTGTTCCGCGAATTTATATTCTATATTTTTCACTCTGACCGAAAACTCGATTCTCTTTTGTAAACCATTTTTTTCTTATAAGAGCAGAGCGTAAGAACCAAGGTAAATTTTTTGGTGCTTCATCTCTTGGTGCTCGTGCTCGTTGGTTTTCATTTTGCAGTCAGCAGTAGCAGAAGTTCGTGATTCTTTTTTTAAAAAAAAACCAAAAAAAAAAAAAAAAAACTCAGAAAAAGAAAAAAAAAATTCCGATGCTCAATTTTGAGTTTGTCTCAGATTGAGAATAAATGAACAAAATAACTTTAAGCTCTCATCAAAAATCCGACTATCCTTGTTCTCTTAATTTTTTTTTTTTTAATTTTTTTTTTTTTTTTTTAACTTCACGCTCAAATTTACAAAGAAAAAAAAAAAGATTTTTACCGTTCTTGTAAAAAATTTTTTCTTTTCATCACAATTTGTTCAATTTTTCGATCTTAAGAAAAACCAAATAAAGAAAATGATCATTTTGACGTGACGCATGAAATACAAATGTTTCTATTGTAAAAAAATTATTATTGGAAAACTGTATGTATGCATTAGACTTGACAAACTATAAAAAAAAAAAAATGTAATCATAACACGTCGACTAATATTTCTTTTAATGATGTAAATACTGAATATAATTTTCATTAACCACTTTTATTTAATAAAAAAGTAATACTAATATCCAAAGAATTACCGAGAGGATGCCTACACATTTCCAAAAATAGTGAACAAAATAAAATTCTACTTTTATTCTTGATGGATTTCGTGCCCACGTCCATATTTATCGTGGCTTACTAAACCGTGAGAAAATATTTACAAAGATTCCAGATTGTTCACAAATTTGAGTATTGTAAGAAATCAATTATCTCTAGTTTCAATCTAACCCAGTAATATAATAATAATATTTTATTTACAGTGTTATATATTGTTATTGTATATTGATTTTTTCTTTTTTAATAGAAATAAAAAATACAATATTTTTAAAAAAAGATATTGGAAATTATGCAAATTGAAAAATTCCAATAATTTGTTTGAAGAATCTTAAAATTATTCAAAAAAAAATCAAGATAATCGAAATCAAATTATTATGGTTCTAAATAATTTGCAAAAAAACAATTCATTAATTTTTTGTATAAAATAAATAAATTACAAAATAATTAAAATGTAAAATGTTTTACAATTGATCAAAACATAAAAAATTTATATTTTTTGTATTTTTTTTTAAAAAAAATAAGGAATAAATTAAATTATTAAGAATTGAAAAATCTTTTTATTGATAATTTTTAATATATTCCATATATCTGTATTTTTGAAATTATACTTGATTTATCTTAATGTTTTAAAACAAAAAATAATATTGAATTTTTTTAAGTGATTTTTATAATAATATTAAAAAATTTTTTTATTGATAAAATAAAAATTATTTAAAATATTATATCAAAAATATGAAATTTATGTTTTTAAAGAAAAAAATCCAGATTTAACAAATAAATATTTGACTAAAAAATATAATGTTGGTTTAAAAACTAATACAAGAATTTTTTAAAAAAAAAATTATTGAATTAATATTAATTCTAATAATTGAAACAAAATTTAAAAAAATTACAATTTCAAATTTTTATTATTAAAAATATTTTAATAAATAATACATTTCAAGCTAATATTACAATAATTAGATTTGTTTTAATATATTAAGTTGAAAAATTTATAGTTTTTGAATATTACCAATTTTAAAGCTTTTAAAAGATGATTAAGTAATTTTAAAAAATGTATAGGTTTAAAAAATTTTATTTATAATAAAAAAAAATAGTATCTCTTAAAGATATTTCAAAATTTAAAATAGAATTATAAGATTTATTACAAAATTGAATTAGAAAATATTTTTAATTATGATAAAATTATTTTATATTAGAAATTAAAATTATTCAAATCTTGTATCAAACTATTATTAATAAAAAAGTATAAAAAAATTACAATTTTTTTATGTTCAAATATTACAAGTATTTGATTTTATCTATAAATAAAATATTTAATAAATCTATATTGTTTCTAATACTTTAGCATATATGAATAATATGATTCTTATTATTGACAACAAATAGATGAAAAATTTTTGCTAACAAGTTAATTCTTCTTAAACAATATTATATGCAATAAATATAAGATCAAAATAATTACTAACATCAAAATTAAATTAGAGTTTAGCAATTTAATCAAATTTGTTAATCTTCAATTCAAATATTTAAACTTTAAAGTATAAAATACTTGAACATGTTCATTTCTTCTAGAAACTTATTTAAATTTAATAAAAAAGCTCTTAGCCAATCAATAGATACAATTCTCAAAGAGCTATTCAAGTATAATTGAAAAAATAAAATTAAATAAAAAATTTCCAATTAGATAATAATGGACAAGTTTGAATACTTTCTTTTTCTAACTTATCTTAACAAATTAACACTTAATTTACTTCAATACAAGATTAATAAACTTATCAAATCAGCCTATAGAATTACATTCAGATATTCAAATACAATTTTATTAGCCATAGTGATCTCAACTATACATGATTAAAATTATTTTACAATCAACTCAATTATTTGAAATTTTTAGTACTGCAATTGTATCACAATTATGCTATAATTAAATCAATATAATACAATCATGTGATTTGTTGCAATTATTAAATTTGCTACAATTGTACTGCAATTATTAACTAATTAAATTTAAAAAAAAAAACAAAACAAAAATAACAAATTTATTATTTTTTTATCTATCATCTATTAAAAATACAGAGCAATAATAATCAAACAGTTTCCTTATTATTTAAAAATACAGTTGGATAACCAGAATCAATTTCTTGGCAATATTTTTATAAAACAGCTATTGATAAAAGTTGTGAATACTTTTGAGTAACATGCTATTATTGTAGCAAAAAATATCAGGGATAAATCAAATATTCTTGAAGATTATTTAACAAATAAGTGTATATTTTGTCCAATTGAAATCCAAAATGAATTTTTGGAAACAATTGCTAATAGAATTGTTGAGAACAAAAAAACTAGCCAAAAAAACAAAATTAGATTCTAAATAATTTCCATTAAGTAATTTTATAAAAAGTATTAAATTAATTGATACTAAAAAAGATACAATCATATAATATTAGGAAGATTTTTTGTTACTTGTGTAATTTTTTTTGCAGTTGCAAACCATCTATTTTTTATTGATTTTGTAAACAATTTTATTTAGCTTATGATTCACCATGTACAACAATATTCATCAATATTTTTCACTTAGAGACTGTAATAATTACAATTAAGATTCAAAAAGAATTATAAATAAAAGAAAATATTACAATTGCTTTGGATAGATAGATAGATCCCAGCAATTGCCAATTATATGATTTTATTTTAATAATATTCAATAAATATAAATATCTTTGAACTATTGAAGATGTATCATCAGAAAGTATTATTGAAAAGTTTTTAATTAATTATGTTGAAAAAATCATTAATACTATTGGACAAAATAAAATTGCAAGATTGATTACAGATTAAGCAACTAATTGTAAGGTTATGTGAAATATCATTGATGAAAAATATCTGAATTATTACTATAATGTATTGCATATTATATCAATTTGATTTTCAAGAATATATGCAAGTATTTGTTTGCTATTAATACAATTAATAAATATCAAACATTGGTATTATTTTTTGAGATTATATCAAGGGATGGGTACACTTCATGAATTAAAAACCAAAGATGAAGGCATTAAAACATCAATCAAAACAAGTCAACAATGTATAATTGTTGTAAATCAATTATTAAACTTCAATTAGCATTTGAAGATATACTGTAAGTATTTGAATTATTAATTTAATATTAAATTTAATTATTAATTTTGGATTTTAATTATTAGAT